GCAGAGCTGCTCTCCAGAAGGTCAGTCCCCAGCCTGTACTGGTGTCTGGGGTTATTCCTCCCCAGGTGCGAGCACTTGGCCTTATAATTAGCAGGAAAAATGCAGGCTGTAATTTTTTTTCCTTATTTTGCCACTTTATCCCAAAGTATTTTCAGTGACAATAAAAGTGAATTGGAAATAAAGCATTGTAAAGACATAGAGGCGTTTGCTTTTGCAGCGAGATTGTGTTGCTGATTGCTATTTTGTTGACATAAGTGGGAGAGGAGTGATGGTGTAGGGCTCTACTGGTGCACAGTAATTGCAGGATTAAGACCAGAAATTTTATGTAAGAGTTCTCCAGTCAAAGTTGATGTATTTAGATGAAAAGAATAGAACATAGTACTATTTTGTTTGATACCTGATTTTCTTGGAGTTATGTTTTTAAAAAACTTAATCAAAAGATCATTGGCTGCAAAATGACTGGAACATTCAAGAATTCATTTTCTATAGTAGATGCCACAATGCAATTTTAACTGTTCCTCTGAAAAGCGCCAAGCGTCTCTCCAGCCTTTCACACTAGACATAAGAATGACAACCAGGTTAGGTAAATTTGGTGTTGTTTTAGTGTGGAATTTGTGCAGGTGTCGTTTAGTAGCTTTGTACATAGCTTAGCATGCAAGTAACTTGCGTAACTCTCAAAATTAAAATAAAGGAAATGCCTTGCAGTGCACTGACACAATATGTTTTTTTGCACAAAGACGCCTAGCTTAGAGGGTCCTGCACTTGCTCTAGTGCCACCAGTTGTCCCTTCAGGCTGGTAAAGGGTAGTGTGAGAGCGCTCATTTTCTCCTCTCCCAAATTGAGGTTTACAACCCGCCAAATCAGTAAGTAGTTGCCCTGTTGGACAAGTAGTGAGCGCTGGTATAGGTGCAAGCGGACTGGCAAAAGCAGGAACTTCTTAAACTGGTGTTGCTTTTAAATAAAAGCATCAGTGAAAAATTGAACAATTGTGTTAGAGGTTGCTACTGACGGTTGATAACATTTAGCAGCAGAAGCGTTGTTAACTTGTGGCAATGACGTGTCCCAGTCCCACGAAGCTGAAGTTGTGGAGCTAGCA